TTGCAAAATATTATATTCTTAAATAATAGATTTTTTCCATTTTTCTTATAATGATAGTTATTTAATAAAATTAAAATATTGTATGTTGTTATATCTAAATTTCATACAAATATGCATAATTAAAGAAATTAACTATTGCTCTAAAAACAAGATATATTTATGATTTCTACCAAATTCCATTTAATAATTGTGAATGTTCTATAAAATATTATGTTCTTAAACAATAAGTTCTTTAAATTTGACAATTTGATAATGATAATTTGTTTAATAAAATTTAAGAATTGTACATTCTCATATTTAATTTCCATAAAAATTGTCGTAATCAATATAATTAAGAGAAAAATGAATAATCTAATTGTAAGTGAATATTATTTGGAAAATATTTCGCAAAAATACAAAAAAGTTAATATGTCAAATATATCGAACGGAGTAATTATTTATATGTAGGCTATATATTTTGTAAATAAAGAACATAATTATCTAAAGAAATGTGAAATGTTCTATAAGTAACGCGATTTATTCAACTTTACAGGTGACCAGAATAAGAATCGATGGCATCATCTTCAGACTACACTCTCTAACAACAATATTAATACTGACATTCTCAGCCATCATTAGTAGTAAACAAGTTGTGGGAAATCCAATAGAATGTGTTCATACCAGGTATATATAAAAACTAAGTTAAAATGTTAAATTAATAGAAAATGAATAATCGCTTACAATACTTCTGAGTTTTCTATTCAATTTACTATTACATCAGATTACTATTTTTATTATTTTTCTTTTTTTATTTTTATAAGATAAGTAGTCAAGTGTTCGTATAGAATACACGATATTACCTTCTTTTTATTAGAAAGTATATCTATGGTTAGAATGGTTAACCATATGTACGTTATGAGTAAAGAACATTATTCATTTTCCAGTTGTGGGTTCCATGAAAATTGCATCCGACATTTCCTGACCAGTTTTTAATTTTTTTTAAAAAGAATATTTTTAGAACTATTTTTTCTATGTTACTCTTTTACAATTATTCTTTCTATATTAATCTTTTAGAATTATTATTTAGAATTATTATTTAGAATTATTAGTTACTCTAAAATTATTCTAAATTCTAGAATATCATGCTATCAAATAAACTATAAAATTAAATTTGTTTTATATTGAAGATCGGGAAACGATGTATTTTATTGACTATGAATTAATATGTGTAATTCTGTAGCATATGTTAAAAATGAATAGTTTCAGGAAATTAATTATTTGAAATAAGTAGAAGTATAATATAAATTATATACATATGTAGTATTTAGTTTCATTTAAATAGATAAACATATCGAAATAAATATTATATTTGAGTAGGATAAATTATGTTATAGGAGCTTTTCATACAAGACATACCATCAATAAGGAAGTATTTTTTCTTCATTATTATTTCATTAGACTTTCCATTTATGATACAAAGCAGGCGCAAAATTGGTAGTGATTTTCTACAGGTAATTGAAAAAAATCGCCTGTGGCTGAAGGATTAAATTAATCACAAACTAACCGTTCATAAATATGTGGGAAAGAAGAAAGGAAAAGAGAAGAAAAAGCGAAAGCAATATTCTCAAGTAAATTGAACCCTTTGCCCTCGAGAGGCGCCTTTCAGTCGCTATTTGATAAAATTTCGAAGCTTGATATTAATTAATATGTCAAATTTAAGATAATGTAATCGAAATTAAATAATTCTACGTGTTAATTATTATACGATTTCTTATTCACTGCTCAAAAAATATCATCAGCCATATAGTAGAAAATTTTTCAACTCGTACCCTTCTTTAGCCAAAAAATCGTCGAGCGCAAAGGGTTAAACCTAGACGACACAGAGTTAAATTCGCTGCAAGTATTATAGTATTTTAAGAAACGAAATCCTTACTCTAAAATATAATCAAAGTTTTCGAGTTGATTCCGAACTTTATATGGACCTCCACACAAATTTTCCATTCAAATTTCTCTACTCAAATCTTCGATAATTACGTTTGAAAGTAATTATTATAACTTTTTTACACGAACTTATTATGCAGGGTATCCCAGCAAAGATAGTACAACCAAGAAGATGGTGATTCTACATACAGAAACGAATCGAGAAAGGAGAGAATAAAATTTTTCTATTCGAAGCTTCGTTTTCGAGAAAATCGACGTTGAATATTCACCGAGTATACGTGCACTTAACGTGCACGAATACCCCATCAATATATAAGTATCGGTGGTACGATTAAGGAGGGTGTGATTCTACATGGAAAAACAAATCGAAAATGAAGAATACAATTTTTTGATTCGGAGCTTCGTTGTCGAGAAAATCCGCTTTGAATATTCACCGATGGATAGATCATTGATATATGAGTATCGGTAGTACAATCGAGGAAGGGGTGATTCTATATGAAAGAACAAATCAAAAATAAAGAATAAAATTTTTTCATTTGAAGCTTTGTTGTTGTATATCGTCAATAGGTCGTCCGCAATTGGCGACGGTTAATGACGAACCAAATTTCTTGAGGAACGTTGTGTTTTTAGTGGTCTGTATTTTATGTAATAGTTCCGGATAACTCTTCTGAACTCTTCGAATGTTATTTGCTGACTGACTGGTACTGACCTAACTAACTTGTGCGGTGCACGATCTTTCGGAGCCCATGGTTTCCAAAGGGAAATCGGTTTTCCCATTGGTGGTTGACAGGACCGAGGGTGGGCCCTCGGTCCGCGAATCAGATGCCCCCAAAGAAGGGAGGACCGTCTTCCGCGACCAGGTCTGCCGGTGGAGGAAGCCTCTCCCTCAAAGGGGGTTGCTGGTGGGCCACCCGCACATTCGTGATCCTTCCTGAAGGACCCGTTACTTTATGGCTCCGAAAGTCGCGACATCGCACATGGCCTGGTCCCTTTCTTTGCAGGCCTATTGTCAGCCAAATCCTAAGTGCTGTTGCCTGCTTTCTAACATTAATGGCTAAAGAAAGCCTCGTGTCCGGTGACCCGAGGGAAATAAAGAATTGTTTGAAAATGCATTGAAAATGAAGATAGAAAGGACACGGAACTTGAACTAAAACAGCAATTAGAATCTGGCTGCCAGAAGACCCTAACGGTCTTCTGGGTCTATTCTAATCAAGGGCCGAACAAAATACCGGCACGACATTCCAAGGCTTAACAGTTGTCAAGAAAATCGACTTTGAATATACATCGAATTTGCTGATATACTGATGGTTCATCTGCCTTAGCCAAAGTTAGATACACATGTACTCGGTGAATATTGAAAGTCGATTTTCTTGACAACGAAGCTTCGAATGAAAAAATTTTATTCTTTATTTTCAATCTGTTCTTTCATGTAGAATCACTCCCTCCTCGATTTTACCACCGATACTCATGTATTGATGGTCTATTCATATAAGCCATAGTTCAGTGCATGCGTACTCGGTGAATATTCAAAGTCGATTTCCGCAAAAACAAAGCTTCGAATAAAAAAACTTTATTCTTTTTTTTTTCGATTAATTTCTGCATTTGGAATCAACCCCTTCCCAGTTATACTACTGTTGCTGGGACACCCTGTATATTAACCTTTTGCGGTTGTCAGATTTCAGCAGACAAAATTTAGCGTTTCGCAGTTACTTTTCTGTACTGCTTAGGATTTAAAGTCAATATATGGATATTAAAACGCCCAGAATTTGTTGAAATTGATTTGTGTTTAATACTACTTATAATACGTAAATATACAAAATTTTTAATTTCTCTAATTTTCTGTAGTTTTCTGTATTTTTCGACTTGCAATTGTTTCCGATGCGGAGACATCGACTACAAAGGGTTAATAAAATTTATTTTATAAAATAACGAAATAGTCTTTTTCATTTTTATAATTCGATTATTACTAGTAAAATGTTTGATCTGTTTTAATTTTTTTATTTTATGATTTTGTTAGTTGTCATTTGCCTAAGCACTATTCGTTCATTGTCGTAATGTCGTGTCAGACGAAATAATGTTGAAATATATTGTTCAATTTATATTCTTTTCCAGTTATGTCTGTTGTGTCACTGCTAGTATCTACATTTGGTATTATGTACCAGTATTCAGTTAAAATATTAAAAATGAAAGAAATAAAAAAAGAAAAAAATGAAATATGTAAGACTCTCCGTTGTTTCATTAGTATTGCAAACGTGGCACAGTTCGTTATCTCTAATACCCAACGATCATTTGTTTTCCACCGATCTAATAATTGCACCTTGGAATTGGAATTTTGTTATTCTACAGCTGTTCTCTGCAATATAATATATCAAAGTGACTCAGCGAATTAACGTCTTATGGTTTAATACATTTTGTTTGTCTTTCATTTTGAGCAACTCTATAGTTTAATATGGCGAAGATTTACCTCCCAGAAAGTGTAATTCTCGTTGCAGTCATAAATCCTGCTCCCTGGTTTTGCTATTTCGTAACCATAGCTTAAGCTCTTCGAGCTTAATGACGATCTACTCGTCCAGATGTTACACGTGTATTTTTGTATTGCGTAAAGTGCTCCGAAATATGTGAATCCTGGCAATTTCTGCGTAGACGTGAAATTAATGTTCGCTTAAGAAAGAAATGGGGGGACAAGTGAAAATACGATTATTCTTTCAGTCCCTTTTAAAATATTTTCTTCTCATCAGCGAATTTTCTTTCGCTCTCTATAAGTTCATTTTCATTGGGAAAGTAATTTAAAAGGTCAAAGAGAGGAATTGGTCAATATGAAAATTATGAAACGGGTAAAAATGACTGATTTCAGACTTTTTGTTTTCTTAGTTATGGAAGAGGTGAAAATACTTGTGACAAAAGTAGGTTTACTTTTTATTTGGATAGAAACGTAATTAGATATATTATATTTAAATACACATTACGAGTTGGTAGTTGTAGCATTAATATTTGTTTCTACTAAATTACTGCAATGTTATATGATGTATGTATTATGAAATAATATTACAGCGTAATACTATAATTAATTACATACAGTATAGTAATATTTTAATATACTATATTTCATGTGGTATATAAAATATATTATATTAAAATATTATATATCGTTGTAATTACTGAATAAAAATGGAAAGATATATCTATTTCTTCTTTACTCGTGACCTTGAACAATTATGAGTAATTATAATGATAATAATAATAATATTTTTAATTATAATATAATAATACTTTTGTAAAGTTAAGTATACGTTTGCAACTAAACACTTTGTACATTTACTCCATTATGTAGAGTATACTTTGCTATAATTTTTTAAATTAGGGGAATAGGAAAAATTTAAGTAAATATTATTAGATTCAACGATAGCTATTTAAATAGCTATATAATAGCTATTATGAAACTAATGAAGCTAGTAATAAAGCTAATATAAATCTAAATATCATATTATAAAGCTAATAATAAAGCTAATATAAAGCTAAATATTATAAAGCTAATAATAAAGCTAATATAAAGCTAATACTAAAGCTATCTAAATACAAAAAAGTTATTGTATCATACTACTTAAAAAAAAAAAAAAAAAAAAAAAAAGGAGTTGTATTCCCTTAATTCTTTAGAGATGCAATCTTCAAATTCTTGACAATCAAATTATACCGTTTTATTTGGAAAAAAGTATGATGATACCTCAAGTATTCTTCAAAAAGAA